TTTATCCCTCTTTTAAGTACATAAGATAGAATTCACACAAAACAATCTTTTATTTATATATATATATATATGATAAAACTTAAACTTAAAATCTTTATAGGGTCAGTCATAGAATCACATTAGTGGCGGTATTATTTTTTCAAAGACTTAAGCAAATAAGAAGCTTTAAGAATCTTTGGCAAAAACTAACAAAATAGAAAAAAAAAACTTGTGGTTGGGAAGAGATGGATTGGATATTTGTTGTGAACTGGGACAGGATAGCAGAGGCATCTTATTCTGTTGGTTGGTTTTTTTTGTCGGTTAAATCTCTAATTTAGTCTCTAAATTATTATATAGACTCTCGATTTGATTTTTGAACTAAAAAAAATCTCTGATTTGATTTTTGAAGTATTGTACGGTCCATAATTTGATTTCTATTGTTTATCAATTTATTTCAAGTTGGTCATTTTGTACAAAAAGTAATTGACGTGTCAATTACTTAACGGTGAAAAACAGTGACTTAATGATGAAAAATAGTAATTTAACGGTCACATATCACGTTAATAACAAAATATGTCAATTGGTTTATGTACGAAATGATTAATTTGAGGCAAATTGATAAATAACATGACCAAATCAAAAGTTCATACAATAATTTAAGGATTAAATCAGAGATTTTTTTATTTAAAGACCAAATCAATGGTTTATACAATAATTTAAAGATCAAATTAAGAATTTAACTTTTTTTTTTTTTAATGATCCAAATTGTTTGTTGAGCAGTGCTAGGGGCACTCGTCTTCTGCACTCTCCGGCCAACACTTTCACTTTTATTGGGTAACGTTATTCTGGTCAGCAAGGGATTGCACCGCGAAGCCCGAAACAAGCTTACGTAGCCCAATAAAAAGGGAAGTGTTGGCCGGAGAGTGCCCGTAGCACTCCTCTTGTTGGTTTGGTCAGCTCGAAACCCAACGCAACCCATGTTTTGAGTCTTTTTGTGCCGCAGAGCCGCAGACGCGGAGCATCAAACCATATATGGAAATTACTCTAAAGATCCCTCCAGAATCAATAACTGAGGCGGTCCTACTTGGATACTTTATTTCTAAATTTGAAGGGACACGCATGTGACTTCCGACAAAAACAAAATATCTTCTAATAAGCTTTTATTTTTGACCATTGATTGTTTGACCAGTACTTGTCCTTTTTTGTTCTTCTGACAACGTGTTTTTGGGTCTATCTCTATTACTTTTCGAACTAATTTTTTTAAATAATTAATTTTTTTATGAATCGATTTTCAAATTCAATGATTTATTTTAAATTTAGTTAGTTAAAGATTTAACTTTTATTCATTATTAAAAAAAATTCATCATTTTCTTATAATTTTTTTGTTAAAAAAATTAATTTTTTTAAATATTAATATTAAGAGTATTATGCTCTTATTGTATGACTATTAATTTACTTGTTTGACTATTACTTTTATTTTTATATAACAAGTTGCTATTTATTTTAAAGTATAGATACGAGTTTTTTTTTTTTGAAAATAGGCAATGGTATAGATTAATAGATACGACTCATACGAGGCTTATACTCTTCTTCAAGTGTATGTAATGATTGAGAATTTAAAATATATTATGTTTAAATTCCTGAAGTGAGTAAGGTCAAATCAAGACAGGGAAAAAATTATATTTCTTTGTATGATCTAATCATTTGATATACTAAAAAAGGGGTGTAAGACTCATGGTTTCAAAATCTCAGCATCAAACCAAATAAGGTTATTTTGTCTTGAGGAAAAACCAATAAGGTTATTTAGTTAAGAAAAAATGAAAAACCGATAAAGTTAGATTCTCCTTACTAATTACTACCTGCCACAACATTAAGTTTTTATTTTGAGAGGATATTTATTTATATATAAATTTTATATATTATATTGATATAAAATTTTAATTATTTATTATTTATTTTTAATAATTAAGATTATTTAGTTAAGAAAAAATGAAAAACCGATAAA